TGACCCTAACACGACTTAAACTCAACCTCACAGTTGGGTGTTTCCAACTCTCTACAATATAACATCCCAGGCAATGTACGTAGTACTGATAAGCAACTGGATTTCTATTGCCGTTATGAGCTCCGTATGCTTAGATCGCTCCTGGTTACCCTTGCAAAAAGAGACGTTAAGTTTCAATTAATTCCTGGTGAAATTCAAGCGCTTGCGAATTTGAGACCTGATTTCGACTCCCCGTCACGGAAATCGACAGTGGCGAATTGTATAGGAATAGGTTACGAGCTCACCAATATCCCCACCACCCCCACGTCACTAATTTGCACTGACTAGCGTGGTGAAGTATGGTCAAACCCCATGACCGGCGAGGCCTTCATCCAACAGTGGACACAGCTGTACATTTCGATTTAAAGCTTTTGTGACTGCAGGGATTCATATTCTTGGTTCTTTCGGTAAAGTCACGTAGAAGGGAAATAATAAAAATAAAACATTAAAATACAATTCTCACGACGTTTCGGCCACAACGCAAGCAGCCGTCCTCATGTGAAGAACAGAGCTGTCAAAAAGACAGCTTCCCCGTGTCTCGATTGGCGCTGAGAATCAATGACAAGAGACTTGGTGCTGCCTATCAGCTGGCCGGTTAGCTCAGCTGGTTAGAGCGTGGTGCTAATAACGCCAAGGTCGCGGGTTCGATCCCCGTACGGGCCACGATATTATTTTATTTATTTACATACCATTTACATACCGGTACTTGTACGGCCTTCACCCAGCAGTGTCTTGACAGCGCTGTCAGTCATTGTATAATTACTAGCCTTTTATTTTTCGATTTAAAGCTTTCGTGACTGCAGGCATTCATCTTCTTGGTTTTTTCGGTAAAGTCACGTAGAAGGGAAGTAATAAAATAATAAAAATAAAACATAATAAAATTATTCTCACGACGTTTCGGCCACGACGCAAGCAGCCGTCTTCAGGTGAAGACCAGGTATGTCGGGGAGACAGCGTCTTTTGCCCGTCCAAGGACGGGTGTATTTCAGTAAATCTGAAACTTGCAAGCGAAAAGCAGACCCCGACGTGATATATTCATTGCATCAATTCGTGTGCAGCTTGTAAGGCCGCGGTGACGCAGACCTATTTCATTTAAAGGTTATAATCCCTTGTTCATCATGACGTCCTTTTTACTTCGATGTCTCAACAGCGTTACGGAGATCACGTGACATGAGGGTTCTGCCTTTAGTGAGGGTTGTAAGTTGACGCTGAGGAGGGGGGGGGGGAGGCGCCTCGCCCCCCCCCCATGTGGAGTGACGTCACCCGCTAATTTATTATTATGGTGGGGGTGTGTGTCCATGTGGAGGACGTCGCCTGTTCATGATTATTAACGAGGGGGGGGGGGGGGGAAGTTGGCCCACGTGGAGTGACGTCACGCGCGGGACACACAGACATTTTGGCTCATCGTCTTCGTTTCCTATGAATACAGAAATGATTCCGTCAACAACGTCATTTCAAGAATTACGAAGCCCATTCATGCATCAACAACGAATGACCCCACCACCCAACACCTCTATTACTCATCAATATCATCATCATCAGCCATTGCCTATCCACTGCTGAATGAAGACCCTCCCAGGTCCATCTTCTTGGTTCTTTCGGTAAAGTCACGTAGAAGGGAAGTAATAAAAGACAGCTGTCTTTCCGACAGCCCTGTTCTTCACCTGAGGACGGCTGCTTGCGTTGTGGCCGAAACGTCGTGAGAATTGTATTTTATTATATTTTGATTTAAAGCTTTCGTGACTGCAGGGATTCATCTTCTTGGATCTTTCGGTAAAGTCACGTAGAAGGGAAATAATGAAATAATATAAATATAAACAATAAAAATTATCACGACGTTTCGACTGCAACACAAGCAATCATCACCAGGTGTGAAATCCACAGCAAGAAAATTTGAAAACAAAATTATTGCTGTGGATTTCACATCTGACGATGATTGCTTGTGTTGCAGTCTAAACGTCGTGAGAATTTGTATTGTTTAATATTTATATTATTTTATTATTTCCCTTCTACGTGACTTTACCGAAAGAACCAAGAATATGTATTTTATTATGTTTTATTATTTTATTATTTCCCTTCTACGTGACTTTACCGAAAGAACCAAGAAGATGAATCCCTGCAGTCACGAAAGCTTTAAATCGAAATCCTCCCAGGTCCGTCGCTATCTCTCGCGGCCCCAGTGCCGCGCTAATCGTCCGTCTCACTCCTCCCAACGCGCGCGAGCCGATCCCATCCCTCCATCTCCACCCACGGTCGATCGAAACTCCCTCGCTGCTCACGCCCCCCATGCCACTGCGTCAACAATCTCGTGACATTGGCCGCTTTCACGCATGAACAACAACAACAACAACCGCCATTCGCCACTTAAGTGGCGGTGACGTCACCACGACGCTTGTGCCAGGCCATGTGCACCTTGAGGCTACCACGTGAAGTGTCGAACGCCCGCTGGCAGGAGATCACGGGGCAGACCCAGCAGGTGCCAAGGGTCGACTGACTGAGATGACCGAGATGACTGGCTGAGGCCACCACCTGTACCCCCTACTGTGCCAACTTGCTGTGCTTTAGCCACGCATGAACACGCACACACATTTTTATTTATTTGTCACGATTGCGACGCTGAATTGTTCGCCCAACCCCCAAGCGTGATTAATCGCCGCTTGGGAATTCACCTGGCACTTCCCCGCAACTTGCATAAGCACCGTACGGCTTGGCAAGGTGTGGCACTGCAACGGCGGTGGTGCTTGGTGGTGGGGTGGGTGTCGTGAGGAGTGACGGCCAACACCAGCGACGATTATCTAAACCGGTCCTGGGCCTCCCCCCCTAGGTCGACTCAGCCTCAAACGAGGGTGGGGTGTGTAAAACATCGCAGCTAGGGAGACAAAGGCGGTCAGGCGTGGTGCTAAACACCCATGCCGCTCGTGTGCCGTGCTGGCTTTTGACAGGTGCTACCCGGAAAACGGCACTTGCTCCAAAAGTCTGCTGAGGCTATACGGGGGTCCTTTGTCTTTGGTGGTGGTGGGTTGTGACGATGGTGGCTGGCTAGGGTAGGGCAGACACGTCTCAACTCGCTGTAGGTACGGCAGCCTTACGCCGCCGTCAACCCAGGGCGTGGTGCCGATTGTGGTGGAGCGGTTTTCGGGCTGTATGAAGTTGTTTTGGCCGTAGTTTCTGCCGAAAGTCTGCCATCACGATCACGGGCCGCCCCTAGACTTGCAGTCACATTGGAATAATGATGTCCTGGAGGAAATCCGATGAGCTATAAAGCACACTTTCACAGATGTTCGGTAGTTTCACAGTTGTCTAGATGTCCACTGGTACACACCCACCCACCCACCACCCAGTGCTGGATTATCCTTAGTAGCACAAGTAGCTACACAAGTAGCTACATGTGTAGTAGCTGCTACACAAGTAGCTACGGCCCCGCACTTTCAAGGTCCCCGCGATAAATGCTTTCAAGCTATCAATTCCGGTTCAGTGATTCTGCACTTGCTTTATTACTATAGTACTATACCGCATTAAACTTTTATGAACGCCCGGGTGTTTAAGGTTAGCGATTTGTCGTAGTATCTGGCTGTATAGCAGATGCAAAAATACAATTACTTTACTATGCAAGTAAAATAAATTGTGTTTTAATATTTAAGTGTTTTAAATGTATTAATTTAGGGCCCCTTTATAACATATGCTACAGGCCCCGCACTAGCTTAATCCGGGCACTGCCAACTTCACGATATTAATGCTAACGATGAGATTTGTAACGCCTACAACAATGTCCACCCCTATCACGGCCGAAAGCCAAGGTGAAAAAGTCAGACGATGGAGGTGGTGGTGCTCTCTCAGCATCTCTTGAAAGTTCGTTGGTTTCTCAGTCCGCTTGTCCTGGCGAGGGAGGCAACGTGTTGAGTAGTGAAGGTCCACACCTCACTTTCCCTGGCGACAGACTCCACACTATACACTACACTACTATATACTACACTACTATACACTACACCATACACTTAACTATGCACTACACTCTACACTATAAACTACGCACTACACTATATACTACACTACGATACACTACACTACTCAAAACTACATCATACACGTAACTACACTATACACTACACTACTATACACTACATCACTATACACTATATACTACACTACGATACACTTCACTATTGTACACCACACCATACACGTAACTATACACTACGATACACTACACCATACACTAAACTATACACTACACTCTACACTACACTATATACTACACTATACACTACTATATATACAGACTAGCTCTTCCTGGGGAACGTGCAGGCGTTCCCAGGCCAGCCAAGCGACATCGTCCCACTGCCAGCAGCGTGTCCTGGGCCGGTCCCGGGGTGAAGAAGTAATACGACAAATTATTTGGTGATGGTGCTACGGCTACGTTCGCAGTCGTGCACAAGCACAGCAACAACAACTCAACACATTCGCCAATGTGCTATGCTGAAGGGCCATTGCCCGAAACGTCGCCTATTCTGTATTTATTTGTCATTTTAAGGCCAAAGTGTTGTTGACGGATGCTTTGGCTATTTCCTTGAAAGTCGGTGCAGATTCAACACGGACTTGCTGCTGCTGCTGAACGTGCAGCTTGTAGCAGCAGCAGCAGCAGACGATGATGATGATGGCCGCGTCCCAGACGGGAGGGGGAGCTGCCGCAGAGAAACGGAGCCCCGCAGGGACCCCTGGACTCTACTCTCTCGGTGTGTAGATGAGAACGAGGGTTTCGTGAGTCGCTCGACTTCTGCTGCTACCGCCGCTGCTGCTGCTGCTGCGGAGACTTTCCACCGCGAGTTGCAAACGGTGACATCCAAACCCATTCATTCATCCCATCTGGCGCTGCTTCCGCTACCCCCGACCCTCCCACACACACACGCGCGCGCGCGCACACACCCCCCTCTCTCCGCCTCCCACCCATCGCACCTCTTACGCGAACGTATTATAAAGAGGGGGTGCGTGACTTAGCCCGGTCTTACTTTGCTGCGCATTCAGTTCCGGCTCCCTCCTCCTCCCGTTGTTCGCGACAATTTTCAGCGTCGAACAAGGCTGTCCAGTCGGCATCTGCTGTCGAAGTGAAGTGTGCGTGCGTGTGGTGCTCGCCTGCAGAAACACACGCTTCAAGCGCGAGAGAGCTTATCCTGCAAGTGGCGTATGTCAGTACGTGTGTGGTGGTGGTACACGTGTATTATTATTCGTATAATAATCTACACGCAAGCGTAACCACAAGCTGCTCGGCCTTCGCTGGTCATCCCTGCCGTGTAGTGTCGTGCAACTGAGTGGACATCATGCGCTGGATTTCGGTCATCCTGAGTCTCTTCTTGCTCGGCCTGGCAATCGTGAGTAACCCCCCCACCCTCCACCCACCTCCCGCCTCTCACGTTACAATATTCGGGTCCATTATTTCAATGGCTCGGCTGATCGGATTATATTTTGCTCTCTCCGTGGACTTTTGAAATGTATATCATTAACCGGCTTTTCTTTATGCCACATCTGGTATACCCTTAAACAGAGATTTCCTCCTTCGCTAACACACAGACCCACGTAGACACGTGTGCACTTACGTGATGCGTAGACTTAAACAGGTAGCATACGTTGCGCAGAAACCCATAGACTCACGTGTACTTACACGATCCGTAGACTTCCATAGAGACACACAGACTTGTATGAAGAACCACAGACTTTCATAGCGACTCATAGACTTACATAGACACGCACAGACTCGTATAGAAACCCATAGACTTATACAGAGCTAAGTTAAGTGTCGCATTATCGCGTGGGGTCGGTTGCCGGCTTTTCATCCATGAGCTTCTATCCCGTTCCTCCTTTCTCTGTCAGTCACTCTCCAATCATCTCGCTCCACAGCATCCGCCCATCTCAGCCCCGGTCACCCTCTACTCCTTCTGCCCTGCACCGATGTCATCCCAATTTCCCTTCTAATCTATGAATCTCCGTGTGAGTGAGTCTATGGGCGTCTGTGTGAGCCTGGCTCTCTGTGTGCGAGTCAATGGCTCTCTGTGTGAATCTATGGCTGTGTGTGAGTTGACGGCTCTGCGTGAGTCTATGGCTCTCTGTGTTGAGTCTATGGCTCCCTGTGTTGAGTCTATGGCTCTCTGCGTGAGTATATGACTCTCTGCGTGAGTGAGTCTATGGGTGTCTGTGTGTGCCTGGCTCTCTGTGTTGAGTCTATGGCTCCCTGTGTTGAGTCTATGGCTCTCTGTGTTGAGTCTATGGCTCTCTGTGTTGAGTCTATGGCTCTCTGTGTTGAGTCTATGGCTCTCTGCGTGACTCGCCTCCATCGCCCTCTCTGGAATATTTGTAAAAATCCGCTAAGGTCTTAACTTTGCCGTTCCTCCTTTCCCTTCGAGATTTCCCCAACATCAACCTCAACATTCTCACATGTGGCCTCTCTTCGTGCTACTTTCGCTCTTAGTCAGGGGCTCAATACCCCACTAAATATTCTCCGGGCCAACTTCGTAGCCTCGAGTAGGTGACACGTGACTCATAGCCACAGCCATAGCGACGTGTATACTTGACGTGGTGTTCCGGGATGCTGAAATGTGTTTCGGGGTGGCTACACGGAGAGAGGGCTCTGCTGAAATAAACCCCCGCCTACAATTAGAAATACTGTCATAGCACTGCGAAACGTTTAGCGATTTACCGAAGAATATTGCAACCCAAGTTCAAGACCTGTTCAGGTAGGTGCTGCTCGCGATTGATCGGACAATAAAGGACTGTGGTAATAACTGGCTGGAGTTCATGTCGTGGTATTTTGACTTTGACCACTCTTACTTAGCACGTTTTTGGAGAATTTAGACAATAGACTGTCTGGCCGGTTTCTGTTGAGACCCCCAGACAATAGACTGCCTGGCCGGTCTCCGATGAGGCCTCGAGACGGTAGACTGCCTGCCCGGGTCTCTATTGAGGACCGCACACAATAACAATAGTGTACTGGCCGACCGCACCAGTCTCTCACTTGGTGACGTAAAACAAGAATTCCAGTGTTTCTAACCCTTCCCTTCATCTCGGCATTCGGGCCACTCCCTGCTCTGTATAATTCCACCGAGCGTTTTGGTTTTTTTTTTCCAGTGAAGTCGCCCCCCCCCCCCCCATAAATAAAACAACAAACGTAATGGGGGGGGGGTCAGCCCCCCCCCGTCCACTAAAATCTCCACGCGGTGTTTGTGTGTTCAGCCGGGCCGGTTGTGTGAACAGTGGCGCAGATCCCCGCCACCCCTGCCACCTGTGTGCTCGACATCGTCATTCGGGGTCCGTTTAGCGGTGACGGGTTCGTTCAAACTCGGCAAGGGTGGAGGGCGAGGTTATTTATTTTTCTTCCGACAAATTCGTTCCGATTCGCCGATCTCAAAGATCTCCAGCGAGCGGGCAGAGGTCCACGTCGGCACGTGGAATTAAGGGCCCTCTTTTTTATGTCATGAATGCAAGAGCTTCGCCGTAACCGTGCGGGCTCGGTGCAGAGTTGTTCGTTGACCGCCGTTCACTTACCACGACGGTCTTCAACGCCGGTTGGCGGAGTCACAGTCGTGCCACGGTTTGCGTTTTTTGTGTGTCTTGTTACAGCAACGCAGTAGCCACAAAAGCGGTCCGTTTTGGTGAACCCTGGCCGCACCGTTCCAATCGATATCCAGGCTCACTCGAGCCTTGCTCAGCTTCCGAATTTTGAAGAGATCGGGCCAGGGATTCCATCGATTTTGTCCTCATAATAATTATATCATGTTGCCTTTATTAGGCCCCTCGCACAATGTCTCAAGGCACGAGTGAAGCGAGCCGGGTGTTTGGCGAAGGCAAAGTTGATTCATAATAGAGGGTTGTTTTGGGTTAGATCGCGTAAAAATATAAATGTGTCGTTAAACCCGCCACCACCCGACACAGCCAATTAGTAAGGTTTGTCACGTAAACAGAACATGCCAATTCGTTACTAGTACAGCAACACCGGTGTGTAGGAGAGCCAAGCCACATCATTTACACTCTGAGTACGACGTTTCGCCAGTAATTATAACTAGCTTCATGATATTGTAAATGTTGTGTCTTGATATAGAACTTGAGTGGTTCGTGAGTGGGCGTCTGTGCCTTGTGAAAAAAGAGAATAATAATAATAATTAACAGGGCATTCAGTGGCATCGGCTCCATGAGGCCGCGCCTAGCTGATGAGACACAGCAGATTCGGGAAACGTTAATCTGAGGTGAGTGGGGTCTTGGTGCGTGAGTGTGTGATTCATCAGGTGAGTGAGACTGGGTGGGGTGAGCGAGTTGCATGCGAGTGAGTGATTATAATTATTGATGAGGCTTAGAGGTGAGTGACCGAGTGATTCTGGGTGAGCGAGTGAGTCTGTCTGGCTTCGTGAATCTGTTTGATGGGTGAATTGAGCGATCCTGCATTGAGTTAAGTGAGTGCTGGATGAGTGAGTTTGACTCAAAGACAAATATCCCCTGTATAGCCTTAACAGACTGGTGGGGCAAGTGCTGTCATCGAGCACCTATGAAACCCGGCACGACACACGAGGGGTGGGTGGCCAACACCACGCCCGGCCGCCTTTGTATCCCTAGTGGCGATGTTTACACACTGAACAAGGGACCAATTTGAGACTGAGTCGACCTAGGAGAGGCCCATGTCCGGTTCAGATAATCATCACTGAACGTGACTCAACGCACACATACAGATACACACACGCCTCATCTCTCACCTGCTCACCTGCCACAACCGCGCCCGTGGATCGCGAAACAGAGCCCTGGGCGGTCAGTGATTCACTCCCTCCCCCGTTCTCTCCCACCCACCCACCCACCACGATCCTGATATGTCAGTCTGGGAACCTTTGTTTGTGCAACCGTGAGTCAGTTCGTCAGTCGCGGCGCTCACTTGAGTCATTGCCCGTGGTAAACACTCGAGTCGCGGTGCGTTCGGACCGGAAGGATTCACGTCCCACGTGGTTGCTCACGATGAGCCGCTTACGAGTTGCGATCTGTCGCCTCGGTCCAAAAAGAATGGACCGTTCATTGAAATATTTCACCACACACCTACTCCAATATGGTCTCATTAACGCCATAGGATCCCTTCCGAAATGTCTCTAGATTTATTGCGAGTTGACAGTTTGCGAATATTTTTTTGTGAGAAATGTTAATCCGGGTGACATGTGGGGTAGGTGGAGGGTGGGGGATTATTTATTTATTTGTGGAGGGGTTAGTGGGTGAAATTTACCAATTAATTTTTCGTGTAACGCTTGAAGGTGTTGCCAGAGGACCGGGGATTCTTTTGGTAGCAGCAGAAGGGAATGCCACATCAGCTCGTGCGCACAGGAGCCAGATTCGTTCTTGCGTCGCAAACCCGTCATAGACGCATTTCACAAGTAGTACTAATCACATATCTGCATTTCCCATAAATATGCTAAATTCCTCTTGATATGCAAATTATTTTGTCAAAGCGCTCTTCCCCTTCCAACCCAGCTTAAATATGCGCTCCAAGCCTGGTGGTGTTTCATTCAGACGCTGTCTCCCCGATAGACCTGGTCTTCACCTGAGGACGGCTGCTTGCGTTGTGGCCGAAACGTCGTGAGAATTATTTTGTTATGTTTTATTTTTATTATTTTATTATTTCCCTTCTACGTTACTTTACCGAAAGAACCAAGAAGATGAATCCCTGCAGTCACGAAAGCTTTAAATCGAAAGATGGCGACAGTTTAGACATGTCCTCATCTCGTAGTGTATAGATCATGGCCGCTGCTGTTGATCATGATGATGTATGTATGTTGAACTTATTTAGCACCGTAAAAAAAGCATTTCGAAAGAAATTAGTTGGTCAATCTCGATGATCATTTCAAAGTGCGTCACAGCTCCATGTGGCTTCCCAATATCGGAATGAAAGAGTGTTCCAGACGGCCGCAGAAGTGCATCTGAGAGCGCCGCGATGCCAGTGACCGTCTTTGTTCGATGGCTCAGCCAAAAGTCGCTGCTGATGCTGCGTTGGATGACCGGTGTGATTAGGGAACCAACGCCCCAGGTGCAGCGGGAGACATGTACCGATGCATATCGCGGTGTCGCCACCTTGGGGGTGCAGAATCTCGCGTCTGTTGTCACGAGCCTTTTCCACCACGCGCCTCAAGGAAATCAAAAAAACATTTGCACGAAGCTTGCGTCGTCAATCGCGAAGACGGCAGTCGCACAAAACACCGCCCGATGCGATTATCGACGGCGTGGGAATTCGAGTATTTTAATCGGTCAGTGGTGAATTTTTGTGTGAAACGGACAGCCGAGTTAGTGCGTCGTCAATATTTTCGTTCGTCAAACCGCACCGTGGACGGTTCGTGGCCGAGCGACGGATGTA